GCACCGCCCCCAGGCACCGCCCCCAGGCACCGCCCAAGTACCGCCCTCAAGCCCCGCCCCCAGACCCCACCCCGAGCTCTGCCTTCTCGGCCCTGGGCTCGCTCCTGCCACCCATTTCCGGAGAGAGGCCCCTTCAGTCTTCCGCGGCTGCAGTAGCGGAAGTCCAGCGTGACCGGGAGATGCCACAGGGAGGCGGGCTTAGGTGAATCCCAACTCCAGCTCACACCCACAGCGCGCCCAGAGGCCTCTGGGAACTTTGCAACAGACACTTGGTCTCTGGCCCCACCACCGACTCACCGCCCGACCTTGGGCAAGCCTCTCCACCTCCCTGAGCCTGCATTTCTGCAGCTGAAACACTAGTGCAGCATGGTAAGAAAACACGTTCGCAGGAGAGCCGTATAGGGCTGTGCTGTTGTTGCTGAGTGCCATCGAGTGGGTTCCGACTCATAACCACCCCAGGTGATAAGGTAGAACTGCCCCATAGAATTTCCTAGGCTATAATCTTTAAGGGAGCAGATCACCAGGTCTTTCTCCCACAGAGCCGCTGAGTGGGTTCAAACTGCCAACCATTAGGTTGGCAGCTGAGCGCTTAACTGTTGTGCCACCAGGGCTCCTATAGGGTTGTGCAGGGGCTTCTAACCACGTGGAAACACCGGCTGGGTTCCAGTCCCAGCTCGAATGCTCAGGAGCTGTGTGACCTTGGGGCAGTGCCTTAACCTCTCTGTGCCTCCATTTCCTCGACTGTAAAACAAGGATAAGAGTACCCACCTATTGCAGGACTGTTGTTGTTAGCTGTTCTCTGCTCATAGCAACTCCGTGTACAGGAGAAGGAAACACTGCCCGGGCCTCTTCCATCCCCATGATCTGCTGAAGATTGGACTGTTGTGATCCATAGAATTTTTTCACTGGCTAAATTTTCAAAAGCAGATCACCACCAGGCCTTTCTTCCTAGTCTGTCTTAGTCTGGAAGCTCTGCTGAAACCTGTTCAGCACCATAGCAACGTGCAGACCTCCCCTGACAGACAGGTGGTGGGACAGGTGGTGGCTGCACATGAGGTGCATTGACTGGGAATGGAACCTGGGTCTCCTACATGGAAGGCAAGAATCCTACCACTGAGCCACCACTGCCCTCACTGCTAGAAGACTGGATGAGTTAACTTTAGACAGCATCTAGTGCCTAAGTGCTCTTGTTATTTTTAATAGGCAAGATACTAGGGATACACCCTGTTTGGTAAATGCTCCATGAATGTGGTATTTCCTCCCTTGCTCCCTACCTCTGATTGCTCTAGGCCCAGGCTGGCCTTGACCTCAGCGTCCGAACTGATCCAATAACAGCTGTCCTGCAGGCAGCCCCACCTATCCAGCAAAGCCTCCCAGCTGGCCTCCCCAGCGCTGCCTCAGCCCTCAGGGGCCCTCTGAGAGACCAGACAAGCCCCAGGCAGGTAGCCTTGGCAGCCAGCATAGCCTCTGCCATGCCCCTCCTCCCACCCTCACCCATGGGGACTCTCACCCACAGAGCCTCCCACCCACTGCACGCCTTTCTCTGGGCCGACACTGCAGGCATCCCACTGCAGTGCCCGGTGCCTCCCACGGCCTCCTGGACAGCTGGATTCTCACACACAACCCAGCATCATCCCTCCAAATCTGCTTGTCACTCAGGGACGGCCAGCCTGCCTGGCAACCCCCCACCTCATTAGTCCAGGTCTGCTGGCGTCCTCTGACCTCCCTCTCCTTCCATGCCCTCGCCTCCAGATGGCCTCATCGTGGAAGTCAGACACCTTTCCGCCCTGTCCCCTCTACCTGTCTCCCACGCTGCAGCCCTGGTGACCCTTTGATTGCAGATTGGATTATGGAATGCCCCAGATAAAAACCCATCTGGGGTTCCCTGGGGCTCCACCAAGTCTGAACCCCTGATCCAGGGCCTCCAGGCCAGAGTGGACAGTCTCCCTCTGCTCCAGCCACAGTGGACTTTCTTCATTTCATTAGACCCCTTTCTCCTCCAGAATCCCTCGCCCCAGCCCCCTGCACCCCTGCCCCTTTGCCCACTCAGCTGGGACATTTCCTTTAACCTGATCCTGAATGTCCCGCCCCCACCCACATCTTCCTGTCAAACACCCACCACATAGGTCTGGCATCGCTAACAGGCCTCCTCATTGCTCGCGGCTCACTGGTCCTGAAAAAAACCAGTCCAGTTGCCCTTGAGTCAACCCCAACTCATGGCGACCCCATGTGTGTCAGAGTAGAATTGTGCTCTGTAAGGTTTTCAGTGGCTGATTTTTCGGAAGTAGATGGCCCGGCATTTCTTTCGAGGTGACTCTGGTTGGACTCAAACCACCAACCTTTTGGTTAGCAGCCAAGTGTGTTCACCATTTGCACCCCCAGGGAATCCCCCCTCCTGGAAAAGACTCCTCCAAATAAAACAGACACCAAAACCCCAGAGCAGGGAACAAAAGTATTGATTGGAAGGAACTGTATCTTTCGGGGAGAAAAAACAGCACATTATGACAATGAACTCATTCTCTCTCTCTCTTTTTTTTTTTAATTTTTATTGTGCTGAAATACATGTAACAAGTGGAATCCCTGGGCAGTGCAAATGGTTAACACACTCGGCTGCTAACCGGACAGTTGGAGGTTTGATTCCACACTGAGGCACCTCAGAAGAAAGGCCTGGTGGTGATCTACTTCTGAAATATCAGCCACTGAAAACCCTGTAGAGCCCCGTTCTACTCTGTCACACACAGGGTCGCCAGGAAGGGTCGCCAGGAATCAGACTTGACTCAATGGCAACTGATTGCTGGTTTTTAAAAGTAACAAAACATTTCAAATGGTTTTACATGTCCAATTCAGTGATGAACTCAATCTCTTCAATAGTCAACAAGATGTGAAC